TTTAAATTCCAAAATTATCTTTACAATATGGATTAAAATGATAGAGCCTTGATTAATTAATTTATATATGAATTAAAATATAATATAATTTATTATAAATAATCTATTAAATAATTACAAAACCACTTTTTTGTTAGATTTAAGGGCCTTGGTTTATTTTATAAAAAAGATTTTTTTAAAAAATAATAAATATTAAAAAATAAAATTATGCATGTAATATTCATAGATGGTTTTTTTTTCTTCTAAAAATATTACTCTTAAAACCATTCCTTGAAATGTAGTAATTAAATGACATAAAAACTTAGTAATATTAAATGTAATTAGATTTCTTTTTAATCTAGTTATTTTAGGATTATTATGGCTAAAAAAGTATAATCTTTAAATAGATTATATTTTTTATTATTTTAATTTTTTTCATAAAATAATATAAAATTTTATTATTGAAATAAAAAAATAAAACTCTAATATAATCAAATTTTTATTAGTAGGTACAAAAGCTTTCACGTAAGCTGCAAAATAAGGATCATATTTTGTTATTTATGCAATACCCAATTTTGATAGTGAAAAGACTTCAATTAATATTCTAAGTCAGTATTAAGATTATTAAGTTATGAAGATATCCTTTCACAACATTTCTTTTATAATTGCTCAATTAATCTTTAAGAAGAAGCTCAATAACCATTTAGATCAATCTATAATTTATTACAAAACAAGTTGGCTACACTTAAAGAGTACATTGATAAGAAACTTGCTAAAAACTTTGTATACCATCCAAAATCTCTATCAAGAATTCCTATCTTGTTTGTAAAAAACAAAAAATAGAAAAATAAAATTATTAAAGATGTTTATAGATTGTTAAGAATTTAATAAGATCACCATCAAGAATATGTATCTTTTATCTTTGATATCAAGATATTTTAATCAATTAAATCAAGTAAAAATCTATACTAAAATAGATCTACAAAATGCATACAACTTCATATGTATTAAAGGAAAATATGAATAGAAGACTATATTTTGAATCAAATCTAAGAATTTTGAATTTAAAGTCATGCCTTTTAGACTTACAAATGTACCAACTACTTTTGAACATCTATTGAATAATATCTTTAAGAATTTTTAAATATTTTTTTTTTTATTATATAAAAGATATTTTAATGTAATCTAAGAATATAAAAAAGTATAAATTTCATCTTTATTGTGTATTACAAAAACTTAGACATATAAAACTATATTTTAATATAAAAAAATGTATATTTTACACAAATTTAATTGACTTTATAAGATATATGATTTCAAATGATGGCCTTATGATAGATCTCAAGAAAATCCAAAATTTTAAAGATTAGAAGATTCCAAAAAAGTATATAAAATATTTAATATTTTTAAAAATTTACTAATTACTATTGAAGTATTATTAAGATTTTTTTTCAAGTTGCAACTCCAACTATATGTTTGATTTGTAAAGACAAACTTGAATGGAATAAAGAGATTGAAAAAAAACTTGAAGCTTTCAAAAGAGCTTTTATAACAACTTTAATCTTCTATTGTATTGATTTTTTTAAAGCATTGTTTATGAAAATAGACACATTAAACTTTGCTTTAAGTGCAATATTATTACAAAAATTAGTAGATGATAAACTTTACTTAGTAGCTTTTCATTCAAGAAAATAATTTAAAAAATCATTATATATATATATATATATATATTTTAAAATATCAAATAAAATTTTAAAAAAGTAATAAAAGACCTTTATAAATAAAAGTTATACAAAAATTTCATCACATGATCTTGATTGTGGAAAAAATATTATTTAATATTATTGAAATATCTAATTTTATGATTTTTACAATCTAGTTACTTTCAAATAAAAGAATATCCTCAATGATCTATATTAATTTAAATGAAAAAATATATGGTTGAAATTAAGAATTTGAAAAGAGACAATGTTAATTTGGCTAGTCTATTAAAGATATTTGGTAATTAATTTATAAAATAATCAAGCATTTAAGGATACCTTCCTACTATGTAATTTAAGACTTTTTAAATAAACTCTATATAAATTTTGAAATTATTCTAAAGCCAAAATAAAATATGGAGTTAGATCAAATTTATAATTAAAAAGCTAGAAACTAACTCCAAAAAAGCTAACTCTTGGCCAACATTCTCATAGAAGCAAATTATTTTTAAAAAATATATTATTTTAAAATATAAAATATAAAATATAATATGGTCGTTACCACAAAGCACAATTTTATAGAAAACATGAAGGCAAAAAAATGACTTTTTATTTAATAGAGAAACATGAATGAAAAAAAAGTTTATTTGGTAATATAGTCCAATCTTTTGGTACATTGGTAGAATGATACAGAAACAAACTTTAGATATAGTGAACAAAAAAAGTTCATAACTTTAAAATAAAGCTTTGTCATTGAAACAAAATCTAAATGGCTAAGAGTGTATCAGATGTTACTCACCAAAAATTGGTAAGGTGGAGTTTATTTCCTCCTTATGGAAATATTTTAGCTCATATTTTATAAAATATTTTATTAATAAATAATTTTAAAATTTTAAAATTTTAAATAATAATTGTAAAAAAATTAATAAATAAATGTAATAGAAAGTAATATAATATTATAATATATAAATTAATTAATTATATATATAAAAATATATCTTTAATTGATAATAACTCTTTTGGGTACATTAAAAATATTATGTGTGTGTATATATATATATATATATATATATATATATATATAATAAAATTTATAAAATAAGATGATATATTACACTCATTATTTATAATTTTAAATTAAATAAAAATTTAAAAATTATATTATAATTGGTCATTATATAATAAAAAATTAATAAATAAATCCAAAAAATCTTTTTCAAAATTCTAAGTTCCACTTACATCAACTATCTTTAACAACATAAAAAATATAGAATAGAAGAATACTACACTTTGTATACATATAAATGACCTTTAAATTATTTTTTTATATAATTCAATGAAATCATATTATAACTAAAATCAAAATATTATTAAAAAAATATATTTTTTAGATATTATAAAAGAATAAAAACTTATCAGTTCATATTTTGTAAATCAAAATTAATAAAATTTATGATACAATTTTTTGTATTATAAGAGTGACTATGAGTATTTAAATATATATCCAAGTACAAGTTATAGATTGAATTTAGACATATCTTCCACATATTTTGATCAAGATAAAATAGAATATACTAAAACATATTATAAAACCTAAGAATATATTGTAAAAGACATATATCTATATAAAATCTAAAAGATAACATACTTATGAGTTATTAAAGAAGAAAAAAATAATGAAAGAAACAATAGTTATCAAATTAAAAACAAAATAAAACAAATGATTATAGTCAAATACAAAGAAATTTTAAAAAATTAAATTAATATTAAAATACAAAAAAAATATTGATAAGATTGAAAATGGTCTTAGTCTTACATCCTTATATAATAGTTACAAAGAGTGTCTTGTAGAAGCTTCCAAGTAAATGCATGAGTTATGGCATAAGCGTCAAGTTGTAAGTTGCTTCTAATGCAACTTTCTAAAATTAAGAAACATGTGGGACAAATTTGAATGGCATTGTGACTTATCTATAAAATTCTAAATATCTAATTTTTATTAAAAAAAGATCTTGAAAGCTTCTTAAAGAAGATATTATCTTTGCAACATGTTTCTATCTACTCTTATTTATTTCTATTTACAAATATTTACTTAAATAGTATGAGCATTTATTATACATATACAAAATCTCAACACTTCAAAAAATCAACAAAGATATTTTAAAATTTGTAGTAAATATAAATAATCTATATTAAAAATAGTATCTTTGCAATTATTTGTGATATTTTAAGTACAAGTAGTGAGTACTTAAGAATATTAGAAAATTTATATTTTTTTGAATTTCTACAAAGAACAAACTAATGTAACTCTTTTTTTGCCAATATATTAATATATTGTAAAATCATGTATTTTATTTATATAAATAAGTAGTAAAAAATATAAAATATAAATATCAATATATTTAAATAATAGAAAAAAGAATTTTACTTCATTAGTTTATTTGCATCTATGTCTAAATTCAATACTAGTAAAAATATTGAGGCAATTAGAACAACAATAGACTTTGATATGTATCAAATAGATATTAAATTTTATTTGTTAAAAGAAGAAAACATATATATGTATATACACACACCAATCCAATGAATTTGTGCAAGGCAAGGACTACCTTATATGAAACTTAATGATATCATTAAATTGCTTTAAAAAGTCACAAAGAACATGGTACCAAAATTTATTTATTTATTAAATATATTTTAAAAACAAAGTACAAGTAGATTATGTTTTTATATGTGATGTAATTAAAAACTTCTTAAAAATTGTAATTCTTATCCACATGATTTAATTATCAATGCATAAAATTACGAAAGTGGCACTAATTTTAAGGCTGCTGTGATTTATATTTTCCTGGTTATGGAAGGATAAGGCCATCGGTACCAGTAGACAATGAATATAGCACTCGTTTCGTGCTGTTGAAGAATTCCTTACGATAATTGAACCGCTTACTTGAAGAAAGAACAACTGCAACATGCTCCAGTGGATTGCGTTTTCACAACCGCAACGGTCGCGTCTTCAGCTGCTGTTGATAAACTGAATTAGAATTGTAACCAACAACCCATCACTGCGATCTTATGGGAAAGAGTTTCCATGGGATGGGGCCTATGTTTGTAAATTCCTATCTCTGTAAACCAATGAGCATCCTGCATGCGCGTGGAGAACAGTAAGTTAGAGTCTACCTGTCAATAGATTCACCAGTAAGTTGGCGTTAGTGAGATGGAGGACGGACACCTGCCAGCCAGCCAAGGGAGAGGGAGTTGGTACCGACTGCCACCTGGTCGCGCGACCATGTTAACATCGATCAGGACATCATCCCGATTGGAAGCTTCGCGTGGCGTGGTGCGTGTTGTTTTGGTGCGGAGTTGGATCAGCTCCCCGAAGCTGACACTGTCGTGTTCGGTGCTCAGTCGCGGTTTCCAGCTCGTTCTACTTGGTTTTCCGCGCTCTGTTGCTGGAATTTCAGTTTTCGTTTCGGGATGCTTTTGGTGAAACTGGGCCTGATTAAAAAAAGTAGTTCAGAAATTTGAAACTTGGTCCGCAGTGAAAATGACGGTATGATTCGTTATGTTGGGGTTTTTGTGAGATCCTTGGGCGGATTATAGGTAGAATTAGCGTATAAGATTAGTCGGGCTGACTGTGACGTGGGTGTTCAGACGAAAAGTTTTAAAGGTATGGGAAACGCGGCGAAGTTAGGGTTGGTGGGTTTGTTAGCTACGACGGGGGGGCTGTATGTTGCAATCAATAATGCTTATGGGGGCGACAAACGAGCCATGATGGACAAGTTACATGTGCTAGCAGATGGGCTGGGGCCGTCTGCAATGCCCGTGTTTATTTGTGTGCACACTATAGCCATCGCTTTGTGTTTTCCTTACGCCATTATCTTCGAAGCTGCCGCGTCCTTCCTCTTTGGCTTCCTCCGAGGTATCCTCTGCGTGTTTTGTGCGAAGGTTATGGGCGCAGCTCTTGCATTTTGGCTTGGAAGGTTCGAACATTATTTCTCATCTTCAAATTTATTAGCATACTTTCTGTATTTGAATCAGCGTTATGCTTTGTTAATATAAAGCCGTCGCTTTCTTTTTGAGGCGAATCCTTCCTTCGTAAGGCTGAATAGCTGGTGACCTAAAAATCACCTCCAGACACTCAAGTTGCGATGTTCTGATAGTGTTGTGTAGGTCACGGATCTTGCAGACTTGTGTATGACACTAATTTTGCACCTAGAACCGAGTTGTTGGTCCTTACAATGAGGGTTTAACGTGGACTGGTGCAAATTAGGTCTTAATATGTCCTGTTGAGTGGCGATGGCTGGTGATGTCTACGCAACATCTATCACTCCAATATGTCATTTTTTGCCGAGAGTTTTAACTACTTACAGTTCTATTGCTATTGGAGTGTCTCTTTATATTGAGAATTGTACAACTTTTGCGTACTTAGTGTGACCAAGTGGATTGACTTGGAATATACAGCATTAAGACGTTGTCTTCATGAGAGCTTCAATCAGTTAAAGCACTGGCGACCTTTTTTTGATTGCAGGGCTTTATTCCGGAGCTTTAGTTGGGCGAACAATACGGTGAAGAAGAACAAATACTTCAATGTTTTAAATAAAGGTGTAGCACGAGACGGCTGGAAGTTTGTTCTCCTGGCACGATTTTCGCCCGTTCCATCTTATATTATCAACTACGGTCTCGCAGCAACAGATGTTGACTTCTTTGTGGACTTTCTCCTTCCAACGGTCGCTGGAGGCCTGCCTATGATTATTCAGAATACTTCGATTGGAAGTTTCACTAGTGCTGCCACACAACTCGGAGCCGATGGTGCTGGTGCGAAACCTGGGATGTTGTCCTACGTTCTTCCTGCCATCGGCATTATTTCTAGTATAATGATCACGTGGAGAATCAAGAAATATGCAACGGTTGACGCGTTCGGTTCAGGTGATGACTCTTCAGCAGCTATCAAAGAGAAAGAGAGAATCGTTGTGAAGGATAAAGGTCAGTAACTAAAACTTGCGAAAATAATTTGCCAAATTCAATCGCTAGTGAAGAAGATATGCTGATAGTGCACATCGTGTCTTCTCTGTTAATAATTCCTAATGTCACATAATCCTTTATTTCACAAAGGGTGGATCATTTATATATTTTTAAAATAGCAGTTATGACCGCTCGGATACGTTAAAATTTCACCATTTTGTCCTTTCTTTTCGCTTACTATCATACCATTAGGGATTAATGTAGTCGAACACACTGAAATCTGCTCAAATAAGCTGGGATATATCCTTTTGTTAGCTAATCATCTGCTATTATGTCAAACTAAAACAGTAATTTTAGGCATCCCACTCCATAATTTAATTGAGTCACTACATTTTAAGAGGGCCCTGGATTTTCAAGTGGTTGCTTTGAACGTTTTATCTTGGAGTTTGCTGGAGTGACCATTCAAAGATTTAGTATCTTCAGGCGGTGCAAGACTTGCAAGAGTTTGCTCATGATTAATTAGATCCTTCGTAGCTTTATTCTCCAATCTGCTTATTTGAAGTACTTCGAGCTGTCATGAGTAAATCCAACACATGTGCACCATTTTCGAATCCAATCTGTTTCCTGTATCAACCCCTCCCATATCATGGATGTTATCTATCAGGTTATTAAAAAGATAATGAAAGAGCGTCATGTGGTTCTGACAAAAAGAGTCGATTGTGTCCAGGTTGGGCGAAACCAACTGGTGGCGATAGCCTCGTGCATCCCACTATTCATGGTCTTCATATGAGGACAGTCAAACATCTGGCAGAGTAGCTATGACATCTGCACTTCCTTGTCCGGAAGGAATTCTCTGCTTTCTAATGTGAATGATGGGAGGATTTCAATATGTGAATGATGGGAAGATTCACCTATGACTTATCTCACTACTACTGCAATTTGAATGGGAAAGGAATTCCTTCAATTTCTTTAGAAAAACTTCGACTAAGGTTTGATCAGAGTAGTACATTCAGAATGTAAAAGGGCGGATTAAATAGGAATTAATCGAGGGTATTTACAAAAGAAGCCTCTTGCTCCTTCAAGCTACAGTGTTGTTAGATACGTAATTTTAACAATGGTGTTTCTTGTGTAGAATAGAAGTTGAGATACTAGAAAACGGCATCATAATGGATATCATTTGTTTATTCAAATGAATATTGACTAATACACAAAAGGTATAAAGGAATACTTGTTGATTTTTGATTTAATCAAACTCTTGTATTTTAGATAGAAACTCATTTTACTTTTATTTTTATTTGTCATAGTACTTTTATTTGATATTGGTTAAAAATTTTAAACTTATTGTTTTTGTCAACATGTGATGCCTATCTTTTATTAATACTTTTATTAACAAATCGACAAGTATGTCTTTTGTTGTACAATATTTTATGCCAATTGCTTCCATTTTAATCTTTTTTCTTATGAAGTACTATTGAATGTCTATGTGCTTAGTCCTTAATTAATGCTTTGGATTCTTTAAAAAACAATGTATTTTTAATTGTCACATTTTATTAGCATTGCTTCCAATAACACAAATCCAATGTCATCCAAAATTTATCTTGATCAAATTGCTTCTATTATACCATGACTTGTTATTATGTGCTTTGCTTCTATAATAGACCTTGTAATTATTGATTGTTTCTTACTATTCCATAAAATTTTTCATTCCAACAAATAATTCATACTTTATTGTTGATCTATTATTTGTATCTCCTATACAATCTTCATTACAATATCCATACAATGCAATGTTGTCACTTTTAAGATAATTTTTGCAGTTTAAAGTGCCTTTATAATTACTCATGATTTTTGCTATGGTAGCTCAATGGATTGGTATAGCTTTTGGCATGTATTGACTCATAATACTCATAATATATAAAAGTTTAATCTTGATGCCAACTATTGTATATAAGTGAGTATTTAAGAAACATAAGTTAAAAGTCTCAACACATAATATTGATAAGAATACACACAAAGAAAAGAGTAGAATAAGATAGCTATTACTTACAACACTGATTATATATAGGTGGTAGTTGCTATCCTTATTAATAATTACTATCCTTAAACATTTACATCCATTCAAAGATATATCAAATATATTATTTGATATTTTATCTATTGCAATAATATCTTTTATACTCATAAGATCTTTTGCCAACTCACCTACTTCAATAATATTCTATGGCATATATTTTATATTCTTATCTGATCTATAAATATTTTCTAGTTGATCTTTTATTCTCTTAACCTTGTCTCTTGGTCCTTGACCTTATCTTATATTTATTGACCTTTCAACATATCAAAAGATTATCTTTTAATAATTAATAACTTACTTAAGGTAATATCTTTTATAATATAATTTATTCTATTTATATTTTTATTAATTTATTTTAATATTCCTACTTTGTTATTAGAAATATTAAAATAAATAAATAAAAAAGAAAATAAAATAATTTATCTTGTAGAAAATTTTATTTTAGATAAATTGCTAATAGTCAAAGAATTGAATCTTGATATATAAAAAAGATATTTTATGGATATAAGATGAAATCAAGGACTAAGAGTCAAAATTAAGAGTATAAAAAATCAACTAAGAAATATTTTTAAACTATGTCAAAATAATTAGTATTTGACATAGGATACTTTTTTAGTAATTGATATGCTAAAGAATTCTAGAACCAAAAGATATCCTTCTAGTAACTTAGATGCCAAAGGATCTTATAACCTAATATATAAAAGTCAAAGAGTAGAAGTTATATTTTAGGGAAGCAACCACCATTTATAAGTAATGGATATTAGAAGTGAGAGATATCTTATTCCATACTCTCTTTGTATTCAACATTATTAATGCTATGTGTTGTGACTTCAAAGGTCTTTTTTCTTTAATAGGTTATAAATCTAGTCACCTTTAGTTGTGAAGTTTTGAAGTTCTTTGAATTTTTTCTTGTTGTAAGGAGTAGATCTTATTCTTTTTGTTAATGTTAGGGTTTGGTATCTTTTAATCCTACTTTTGCATCAAGTCGTTAATGTTGTTTTATTCTTGCTTGCTATTAAGTGCATTCATAGTCTTGAAGGTTGTTAAATATTTAGAATGATGTTTTAAAATACTAGTGTTGTCTTTATTTCCTAAATTACATCATTTGTATATTAACATTGTGTTTTCATATGCTTTCATGTCAACTTCTTCAAAGATCCTCAAATAGTGATAAGAACTATTTTTTGAGATAAAAAGTGCTATGTAAGATTAGAGGTTATTAAAGAGTAGCAAAGCTTATTTAAGAGATATAGATAGAGTATAAGACTTATAAGAAGTCTTATAAGTGAAGTTCAAACATATTAAAGAGTGAAATCACTAATTTATTGATAAAAAAGACATTCTGGGTTTTTAAGGCAACAACATCTTCTTATTAATTTTAAGAATTCTATCTTTTTATTTCTTGATTTTCTCTGATATATCTCTTCTTTAGATATAGCTTCAAGTGATGATGAAGGCTTAAAAGTGATTTAGAAGTGACAAATTCTACCACTTAAAGAATAAAATAGAGCTTTTAGTGGCTTTATTCGACCTTTGAAATATTATTGATGAAAGTGAATAGTTTCCAAAGAAAAATGCTAATGTTATAGTAAAGAAATAAAAATATAATGAAAGAAAGTTCATTAAAAAGATTGCAAGAAATCTTTATGATGCCAATTTTTCACATGTAATTACTTACAATAAATCATCGATTGCACCATGGCTTGTTGCCATAACTCAACTTCTATTGTTGACCTTGCAATTGTAATTCCATGAGATAGCTCCCATTTCAACAAAAAAACACATCCTATTATTGATCTTCTATCATTTGCATTTCTAACCCAATTTTCATTACAATAACCATACAAAGTAATGTTATCACCTCTAAAACACAATTTGAAATGCAAAGTGCCTTTTAAATACCTCACGATTCTTTTGATGGTTGTTTAATAGATTGGTTCAAATTTTGAAAAATATTGGCTCATAACATTCATTGCATATGCAAGATCCTTCTTTATACCAACTATTGCATACATAAGTGAGTCGACTACTGCATTGTATAAAATACTTGATTTAATAAATAATTGTTGTTAACTATTATAGTAGACAATTTTCTAATAATCTTGTTATAAAAAGGCAAGAAAAAAGAAGACCTTAAGCTTCTTGCCATCCTGGTATGGAATTCTTTTTCATAATTGAGATTGTATAGATTCACTCATATATATGATAATTTTTTATAATAATTAAAATTAAAAATAGTCTTATTTTAAATCTAAAAAATCCTAAACCTATCAGCAAGAAAAATAAATGAAAGCTCAAATAAATAAAGACTTAACGATTAAACAAGCAACTTCTAATTTTAATGTTAGAAGATGTTTTTTTTTAAAAAATCCATTTGAATTAAATCTAGACAAAAAAATAGGAAAAAAAAGTTAAATTTTAATTCTATTAATTTAGTTGTAGAGATAAATTGAGAGAGAGAAGGATCAACACCTCTTTTTTTTTCTAATAGAATATGAAAAAGAATCTACATCCACTCCTATATCCATCAATTTTTTGATTCAATCAAAAGATTTTTCAATTATAATTTCTAAAGATTTACAAACAGCTCCTATGCCTTACAACCTCCCTTTATTTAAAAAGATTAGAGATGATGATCCATTGGCACATGTAGAGAGGTTCATAAAACTTCTCATAACAAATTTAATAACCAACCTTGATTATTATCTTGTATGATTTTCAAGTATCCTAAAAGATAGAACTTACAAATAATATAGAAACTACTTTTTTAAAATCTTTAATAATTGAGACATATTCATAAAAATATTTTTAGAAAATTTTAGAGCAAAAGTGGGGCAAAGTAATGCCCTCATGATCCATTTGTTTTTGAAATAAGAAAAAGGAGAAGATATTATTGAATATATTTGATAATTTAAACTTATAATAACTTGATTTGTATAAATTCTTCTTACAAATGATATCTTCATTCATTTCTTCATTTAAAGATTTAATAGTAAAAGAATAATCTAAGAGATCATCAAAAAAAAGGCCAAATAATTTATAAGAAGTTAAGAAGATGGTTCATTTAATTGAGGACATTAATAAGTAGCAAGCATAAATGTGACAGAATGAAGATTATAGAATACTTAGTTTTATTTCTATTCATGTCTAAGATATAAAAAACTTCTAAAAATATTTGTATAGAATTGTGAAAAAATAATTTAAATCCATCAACCACTATCAAACATCTTTCAAGGTTAGAATACTTGGATTTAATTCTGAGGTTGATTTACTTTCTTTCTTCAATTGTACAACTTCTTAACATAGACTCTGAACTTCTTTCATAAGTGTAGAATTAATATTTCCATAATTGACACTCATAACGTGTAAAATTTCTATCCTGAGAGTATTAATAAGTTCTTAAAGATCAGTAATAGTTTCAAATCTATTCTCACTTTTGCAAAGTGTAGCATTCATGATGTTTCCTTCCCTTTCAAACAACTTAACAAATTCATAAGTCAAATTAAAAGAAAGTAATTTGCAACCTCTAATATCAAATGAAAACTAAATAGTTTATTTAAAAATAGATAATGTAAAATCTTCAAAATATAACAATAGAAGTAAGATAATTTATTCATTTTTAAAAATAGATAAGAATAATAAATTGATAATCTTATAAAATTATCAAGGATATGAATTTCAAAGAAAAAAAAATTTCAATACATTTTTGTATCACTCAAAATATTAAAGAATTACTTAAAAATAATATAGTATTAAATTAGAATGGCTATTGCTAAAGTCAAGAAGCTTCTAAAAAGCTATTCTAAAAAAAATTATGAAATAAATATATTTTTACGTACTTCTATTTAATAATATAGATAAAAATTAGGATATATATATATATATATATATATATATATATATAAGACATTACTCTTTTATATAGAGACAAGTTCTACGAGGAGCTATTATCATATGTTAAAAAATTTAAGATGCAATAAATTATATTTACCACATATATTGATCTCGTTTTTATTATAAATGGTTGATAGGTCTTCTCAACCATTGATAATATTTTATACCAAAATAGAAAGACTACCATGTTATTTGACAGTTAAGTCCTTCATAACTTTTTTTAATTAAAATATTTGAAATATTGTTTGGATTCATTTCTACCTCTAATAAAATCACCAAATATC